GACAAGATCTCACCCTTGCTCAAGCTGGTCTTGAACAGCCTCCCAGAATGCTAGGATTACAGTTGTGAGCCACTGTGCCTGGCCAGCTTTCACTTGAAAGATTTTTTTCTTTCCCAATATTAACTTCCCTTCAAATGGAAAGGCTGCTGTATAAAACAGACCAAAGTGGAGCTGGTCTGGAGGGAATGGGGCCAGGGGCTGGAGGTTTAGTGCTGGGCCATTACAGACGTGGGCTCCAGGCTCCTGTTCATCGTGGGGTTCTGGGAGTTGCTCATTTCAGGAATCTCTTAGTCCCTGCCCACACTTGAGAGTCATGGGCCCCTGGTTCCAGCTAAGCTCCCCCGGGTGTCTCTGCCTGCTGGGAGTCTGATACCCACTCCCAGGACCTGAGGTGAGACCCCCTCTGCCCACAGCTCCCACCGGGTGATCGTGGAGCACTTCATGAACTGCACCATCACCACACTGGCCAAGGACATGCCGCTGGAGGAGGCGGTCAAGGTTGTGACCTCCACAGACATGGCCGAGTACCCCCTGGTGGAGACCAAAGGTGCCCAGCAGGAAGGGAGGAGGAATTGGGGGGGGTGTCTTCTGACTTCCTCTTGGCAGGTAGGGCCCAGGAAAGGGTAAGCAGGGCCTTGCACCTGTCAGGCAGACCTGAATCTGAATCCAGGCTCTGTGACTTAGCAACTGTGTGACCTTGGGCAAGTCACTTCACCTCTCTGAGCTTCAGTTTCCTTATTGATAAAATGGAAATAATAACCACCCTACTTTGTGGTGCTCGACATGTCTAAATGAGAGATGAGAAGGTGCTGGTAATACATTCCACGAACAACTTTTGGGATTCTAGAAACCAGGCCTGATGTGTGGAAGTAGGGACACCACTAGCATCTTCCAGAAGCTTCCTTTCAAGCATTCTCTACCTGAGTCCCCTTGCCCTATCCCTGATGCCATGAGGAAAGCATTTTCTTTCTTTTCTTTTTTTTGAGACAGAGTCTTACTATGTCGCCCTCAGTAGAGTGCTGTGAAGTCACAGCTCACAGCAACCTCAAACTCTTGGGCTTATGCGATTCTCTTGCCTTATCCTTCCAGGCAGCTGGGACTACAGGTGCCTGCCACAGTGCCCAACTATGTTCTTGTTATTGTTGTCATTGTTGTTTAGCAGGCTCTGGCCAGGTTTGAACCCACCAGCCCCTGTGCATGTGGCCAATGGCTTAACCACTGAATGACAGGCACCAAGCTGAGGGAGAAAGGCATCTTTTTATTTTATTTTATTTATTTATTTTATTTTTTTGAGACAGAGTCTCACTATGTTGCCCTTGGTAGAGTGCTATGGCATCACAGCTCACAGCAATGTCAAACTCCTGGGCTAAAGTAATTCTCTTGCCTCAGCCTCCCAGTAACTGGGACTACAAGCACCCGACACATAGCCTGGCTATTTTTTGTTGCAGTTGTCATTGTTGTTTACCTGGCCTTGGCTGGGTTCCAACCTGCCAGACTTGGTATATGTGGCTGGCGTCATAACCACTGTGCTATAAGCGCCGAGCCGAAAGCATCTTTTTAAAGGCAAAAGAATGGTGGCCCTTGTTAAAAGACATATAAGCCGGCTCGGCACCTGTGGCTCATGCAGCTAAGGCGCCAGCCATGTACACCTAAGGTGGCGGGTTCGAATCCCCAGCCCGGGCCCGCCAAAGAACAATGATGGCTGCAACCAAAAAAGAAATGGCCAGGCGTTGTGGCGGGAGCCTGTGGTCCCAGCTACTTGGGAGGCGGAAGCAGGAGACTCGCTTGAGCCCAGGAGTTGGAGGTTGCTGTGAGCTGTGATGCCATGGCACTCTACCCAGGGGGATAGCTTGAGGCTCCGTCTCAAAAAAAAAACAAAAAAAACCACATAAGCCAAATCTTGGGGAAAGATCTAACAAAAGCATCATTTCCTCTTGGGACAAGTACAGAATGTGAAATGGAGCTGAGTGATCTTGGGTAAGAAAATTAGGTTGCCTGTGCCTCTGAGCCTCAGTTTCTTATCCTGTAAAATGGGTCAGAATAGTTATAATAGATGTCTAGGCTGGTGTCAGGTTCTCAGGAGACATGAGAACAGTTTATTTTCATAATGTGCCCCTCTCCTGCTCCCTCTTTCACTTGCCAGAGTCTCAGATTCTGGTGGGCACCGTGCGGAGGGCCCATTTGGTGCAGGCATTCAAGGCTGAGCCTCCTTCCTCGACTCCAGGACACCAGGTGGGTACTGATGGGGGCTTTCGGATGGGGGGCAGCAGGGCTGTGAGGGGAGGGACTGGCTGATCTCCTGTGGGACAGGTGATCTGACAGGGGCAGACCTGGGGAAGGGAGAGGCTGGCTTAAATCTCCCCTAACCCTAATCCCCACCCCCAGCGGTGTGTCCAGGACGTTTTGGCTGGGGGCTGCCCCACAGAGCCAGTGACCCTGCAGCTGTCCCCAGAGACCTCCCTGCACCAGGTAAAGGGGAGAATTCAGGAATGCAGGCAGATAAGGACCCTGGGGTGGAGAAGAGCCTAATGGGGAAGCTCTGGCTCTCGCTTCCCCTACTTCTCCATGGTGCCTTCTGCTTCTCCTGGGCCTGCCTCCTCATCACCAGAACGGGCACAACTCCTGCCCTGTCTGTCCCTCACTGCCAGGGTTGTTGGGATGATGATACAGAGAAACTAAAAGTGGGAGGGCTTAGGAAATAGCCTCTGAGTGGAGAGAGTGGACAGTGCATCAAGACACGTGTGGATTTCAATTTCAGGCCCACCCCCCTATTCTCCCTGTCCACTCAGGACAGAGCCTGGCTTATGGGGGGGAGGGACACAAGCAGGCCTGGGACCTGGAGGTGGCTCCAACCCCTCTCTGCTGTGGGAAGATGCTAGATGATGGGTCCTTCACCCCTGAGCCCTGCCCAGTCCTTGCATGGACTCTGCTGGCCCCTTGTGGCCACACTGACACACTGAACATCGTGGGCCCAAGTCCTTATCTTCCGTGCACAGGGAGCCCAGTCGTGCTTCCGGGCACAGGGATGTGGGGCAGTGGGCCAGAAGGGCAGGCTGGATGTTCCTTACCCTCCAGCATTTCCTAACAATCCCCTACCAGGCACACAACCTCTTCGAGCTGTTGAACCTTCAGTCGCTCTTCGTGACATCGCAGGGCAGAGCTGTGGGCTTTGTGTCCTGGGCCGAGGTACCAGGGTCCCAAGGGCAGAGGGAAGTCTGCCTGAGCACACTAGGGAGGTGGGGGATACTGCATCCAAATTTGGGGGGCCTCATAGGATTCTTATGAGTCTCACTGTCTGGCCCAGAGTGGGCCACTGGGACTGGCTACCCTACCTTGTTTGTGGCCGGTGGCCAGCCGGCCCTCCTCTGATCTTCAGTGATCCCAATTATGCAATCACCCCAGAATCCCCTATCAAGGGAGTCAAATCCACCACTGTCAACCTTTTTAACATCTTCCCCCCCTCCCCCAAAGAAACTCTTTTTCTTTCTTTCTTTCTTTTTTTTTGAGATAGTCTCAAGCTGTTGCCCTGGCATCACAGCTCACAGAAACCATCAAACTCTTGGGCTCAAGTGAATCTCTTGCCTCAGCTTCCCGAGTAGCTGGGACTACAGGCGTCCACCATAGTACTCAGCTATTTTTTAATTTAATTTTATTTTTTTGTAGAGACAGAGTCTTACTTTATTGCCCTTGGTAGAGTGCCCTGGCATCACACAACTCACAGCAACCTCCAACTCCTGGGCTTAGGCAATTCTCTTGCCTCAGCCTCCCAAGTAGCTGGAAGTGCCCACCACAACACCCAGCTATTTTTTGTTGTTGTTGTTGCAGTTTGGCCAGGGCTGGGTTTGAACCCACCACCTTTGGTATATGGAGCCGGCGCCCTACTCATTGAGCCACAGGCACCGCCCAGTGCCCGGCTATTTTTGTTGTTGTTGCAGTTGTCATTGTTGTTTTGCTGGCCTGGGCCGGGCTGGAACCCTCCAGCCTTGGTGTATACAGCCAGGGCCCTACCCACTGAGCTATGGGTGCCACCAAAAAAACCCCTTTTTCTCTGTTCTAGATGGAGAAAGCAATTTCCAGCTTGACTAACCCACCACCCCCCAAATGAGCTAGTCTGCCAGGAAGGAACGGTGCCTCAGCTGCCTCCTGTGACCCAGGCCGGGTGGAAACCCGCATCTCTTCCCCATCACAACACACGCCTCCCCTCCAACCCAGCTCAGGACCGATCCCACCTTGGATAGAGCTCAGAATGTGAGATGGCAGAAAAACAGCACATGGAAGATGCTTAGGGAATGTTCATGAATGAGGAGATTAGAGTCTGCTGTCACCAAGGGTAGGCACAGCTGCCCTCTGGGGGTGCGTCTGACTCCCAGCTGAAGGCCTCTGAGAAAAATAAAGCTAGTCCTCTCATCTCAACTCCCAGGGTGTCCTAACGCCTGAGCTCCTTCCTTCCCTGTTCTGGCTCGGAGTCAGCTCCTGGGGCCATGGAGGTCACACAGTGCTGCAGAGTTGGGTCCCTGGTCTCCTCCTCAGGCTCCACTTCCTGGCAGGGAGATGCTGAAGAGAGAGGGTCTCCCACTGGGTCTCGTGATGTCCTCATACATAAGTAGAACCCTGTGGCCCAGTGATCTTCACCCAGTTCTGGTCCCCTTCTGGGCTGAGCCGTTGCTGATAAGGGGTCCCTGGGTGTGACTCCTTGGGGAGTCCACAGACCCTCAGGCATCCTCCATGGGGAGTCTCCTGGCTGGGTGGTAGCAGGTCTGCCAGCTCTGTGTTAGGGGCTGGGGTCCTCCCCTAAGTCCCTCTGGACCCCTTCCCCAGGGGCCCAAGGTCAGGCCTTCCCCAGAAAAGAGCAAGCCAGGTTCATCCAGGTGAATCCACCACTTTAATGTCTTCAGAGAATCTTGAGGGACATAGGAGGGAGATGAGGAGGGGAGTGGGCTCCCAGAGTGGGGAGCATGGGCACCGAGGAAGCAGGCTCAGAGAGTAAGGGACAGACAGACACTCGGAGAGACAGACGTCCTCGTGAGGAGCTGAGGAGTGATGCTTAGCTACCAGAAGTGGCTACCCCCGCTTTAATGGGGGTAGATACACAGAAGGTTGGGGGGGACTGAGTCCCAGGGTCCAGGCCCCACTCCAGTGTCCGCCGGGGGCCTGGCCATCTGCTTTCCTGGGGCAGCTGCCCTGGTGACTGCAGACAGTCCTTGAGCTCCCTGAAGGCAGATACCCCACTGGGGAAGATGCCCATCTGAGCCAAGTAACGAAGGGAGGAGGGGGCTATGGCTCCAGCGCTGGGGTCAGGTCCACCGAGGCACGGAGTGATCCACAGGAGGGCTAGCTCCCTGGCCACCCTCCGCCTGCCCCAACGGGTCAAGAGATATCCATCCCTGGACCCTGGGGTCCTGATATGCCTGAGCTGCCCACCAGGCAAGGTCATGGTGTGCGCAGGCACTGGACCCAGGCCTCAGTTGTAGAACACCTCATCCTCCTCCTCCCAGAGGGAGCTGCTGTCCACTGAGGGGAGGGAACCCAGAGGCTGGGCCCCACCCTCGGGCCCCAGGGCCCCTGGCAGCCGCTGCCGATGCTGCTGTGTTGGGCTGGGGGGCTGAGGGCTGGCAGCTGTGATGGGGGGCTCCTCGGGGGAGGGCCAGCCATCGGAGGAGAGGCCGGGGGAGAAGGCCAGAAGACTGTCATCCTGTGAGGGGCCGCTCGGGAGGCTGTCCTGAAGGTAGAGGCTCTCCAGGTCTGGAAAAGCAATGGGGGGAGGTCCTCCTGGATCCTGTTCCTCACCCTCTGGGGTGTGTGGGGGAGAGCAGGGAACAGAAGACCCGCTCCAAATCCCACTGTGTCACTGCTGAGCTGTGTGACCTTTGGCAAGTCACCAACCCTCTCTGAGCACAGTTTCCTCCTGAGGCAGTAAGCAGAGTTGTTAAGAATAGGCTCAGAGCCAGCCTGCGTGCCCTGAAAATGGGGCCAGCCAGTGCTTCCCTAGGCCTCTGTCCCCTCCCCGCCCCTCGCCTCCTGGTCAGAGGGAGGGCTAAACGCACCCAGGACCCAGGCTTCTCGGAGCCCTCAGTAGTAACCCAGGGTTCTAAAAAGGCATTGGCTGTGCCTGGAGGTAAGTTTCAGATCCTGGCTCTGACACTTCTAGCTGTGCCTTCTGGGGAGAACTTCTGAACCTCTCAGTGCCTCAGTTTCCTCATTTGTAAAATGGGGACAACAGGCCCTGCTCCATGAGGTTGTCGTGAGGATCATGTAGCACTTAATTCACATTGTCCACCATGGTTTTCTCTCCAGTGTGCTCGTGGTACGACACCGCAGGGCAAGGACAACTGGTCCCATTTTACAGATGAAGAGACTAAGGCAGAGGGCAAGAAGGGTGTTCCCAAGGTCACACTGCATTTGGTGGTAGAGCAGACATCTGGGCTCAGTGCCGCTCCACCCACCCGCCCTGGGGCCCACTGGCTGTACCCTGAAGCTGGACAACGTCCTGGGGGCTGTTCTCAAGGTGAAGCTCCTCATCGTCCAGTGAGGACCAGGCACTCAGTGTGGCCTCTGTGATGGCAAACTGCTCGGCAACTCCTGAGGGGACAGCAAGGCCTAGCTCCAATGGGGGCATGAGCAGAGGGTGGGGGAGCCTCAATGCCAGAACAAGCTGGCATCAGGACAAGCTGGACGGTGGTCCCCCCAGGATGCCCATCCATGCTCCAGTGACCAAGAGTGCCCACTTAATGCTCTGTCCACATTATGCGATTACTTTTCTCTGCCCACAGGGCTATCTGTGTCCCCTGAGGACCCAACTTCACCCCTGTAGAGCCCCAGCAAGTCCCCCTTCCCCCCCATACTGACCTGCAGCAAAACGGGCCTCACGCAGCTCGTCTGGGAGGCAGCAGTAATGCTCATCCTCGGCCGGGGACTGCTCCCAGCCAGACTGCTGGGCACTCCAGCCCTTCCACTCGATGAGGTGGGCCACGCGGCCTCGTGCCATGGCTGTGGGCTTGGTGATGTGGTCCTTGATGCTCTGCACCACCCCTGGGGACATGGAGGGCACGGGCAACTGCCCTGACACAGGCCCTGCACCCACCCCGTGCCTGCACCTCCCCAACGGCCTGTACCTACCAATTCCCCATGTGTAGTCAGCACCTCATACCCACCCTGCCTCGGGCTCCCCAAGCTCTGTGGCCCCATACTCGATGTCCCTCCCACTGGCAGGCCTGCCCCTCCCCGTATCCTTCTCCTGGTCAGCTTTCCTACCCACTGGCTGCTTCTCCCAAGACCAGTCACATCCCTCACTCCCTTTCTGACCAAGTTCAGACCCTTCTGCCCAAGGAGATGCATTCAAGGACCACTCCTGATCCCCCACCCTTCCCTGTGATCCATTCATTAACAGGCTCAGAGAGGGCATCTCTGTGATGGGGCCAGTCCTACTGAGGGTAACACCTGGTGGGGTAGAGCAGGCAGAGAAGAGGGGGCCTAGCATTGGGCTGGAAAGGTGGGCTGGGTTTGGACAGATGGAGGCAAGACTGAAAGCTACTTCAAGGATGAGAGGAGGACGAAGGCCTGGAAGCATCTGGTGTGAGTCCAGAACCCACAGGGGTAAGACAAGAGGCCACTCCAGGACTGGGGACTGAGAGAGCCACGCTGAGGGTGTGATGGTCCTGCAGCCATGGGGAGCCACAGCAGGAAATGAGCAGGAGAGTGACAGGGTAGAGCCTGATTTACAAAGAGCACCCGGACTAGAGGTTTAGGGCCATTGCAGGGACCCAGCAAGATACAGGGCAGACACAGGACAGGAGTGAACCCACTGGCCTTGTGGATGATGATCGGGGAGGGGGTTGTCAGGAATGATCCAGAATCTCCATTAACCAAGGCTAGGAAGGAACACAGAGCTGGTTGGGGGTCACCAGGGTCTCTGAAGTCACAATGTGAAGAATGGCAAGATTTAAGAAAGTCGGGGTCTAAGATCAGTGCCCGTAGCACAGTGGTTATGATGCCAGCCACATACACCGAGGCTGGGGAGTTTGATCCCAGCCTGTGCCAGCTAAATAATAACGACAACTGTAACAAAAAAATAGCTGGGCATTGTGGCAGGTGCCTGTAGTACCAGCTACTTGGGACGTTGAGACAAGAGAATTGCTTAAGCCCAAGAATTGGAAGTTGTTGTGAGCAGTGACGCTACAGCACTCTACTGAGGGTGACATAGTGAGACACTGCCTCAAAAAAAAGAAAGAAAGAAAAAAGAAAGTCGGGGTCTCCAGCAGGGAAACTAGAAATCTGAGAAAATGGGAAAGATGGGGGTGAGGAGGGAGGGGGAGGCCCCCAGTTCGGGAGTGCTGGCCATCAGAGACGGTGTTTGGAGGTGGCAGATTCTACCACAAGTGAAGGGAGGGAAGGCGTTTCAGGTGCAGGAAACAGCACAGGCCCATGGGGCAGGCAGGGCCGAAAGGGGCTCTCAGCAGAGCTTTGCAGGGTGCTGGAGAGGGCTGAAGGGCCTGGAGCAAGGCCATGGCACAGAGGCTGGTGATCTGAGAACACCAGCCTGGAAGGCCCCGCTGGTGCCACCTGGAGCAGATGTCATGGTAGACAGCAAGATCCCCTCTTGTGGCCCGCATGCCCGTGCCCAAGCTGCTCCAGGTGTCACACAATTCCTGTCTTAGCCTTTGTGTCCTGGGAACCCAACTGAAGGTGATGCAACTGGCAGAGAGGCAGGGGGACCAGGCCACACAGACATCTGAACACTCTGGCCCACCGCCTCAAAGCTTCTTGAGAACCCAACAATGTAACCCACGGAGCAGGAACCCTAAGTCACAGAGTCTGGCATTTAGGAAGGGGCTGTGATCCCCCCAGGTGCAACTCACCTTTGCTCTTCCCACAGCTAGTGCCTGGGAGGTGGGGGGACACAGGGGGTGCCATGCAAACTTCTAGGGCATGAGAGTGGTAGCTGGAACCTACCCACAAGGGACGATGTGGCCAGGGCTGCCACGTTGTAGTTGCTGGAGCAGGATCTGGAGTTGGACAGGTAGCCATTGGTGGACTGGAAGCACCTCTGGAGAAGGAAGGAGGGGATGGCAGGATGGGGCAGACTGCCAGATGCCATCCCCAGCATGACCATTCCCCATGAGGAGCCTGCCCCAGGTCCTCTGGGCCAGGTAAAGCCAGGCAGATACCACCAACTCCCACCGCCCTCAGCCCTCAGGCCTGCCTCTCTCAGGACTGGCAGACGCTGTGGCTGGCTGGGTGCAGCAGAGGGAGGGGCAATGGCGTCAGCTGGGCTGGCCAGATGGGGGGACAGGCAAGCGCACTGACCTGCCAAGGATCCCAACAGAAATCCATCTGTTTGTCCTGAAACAAGACGGGGAAGAGACTCAGGCAGGGCCCACTGTGCCTGCAGATGGCACAAGGCCTGGAGCCTAGTGGGGGTGGGGTCAGCCTCCTGGTGCTTCACAAGGTCAGGCTCTGCCCGCTCATGGGCCCTGTGCTCGTGTCCCTGGCATGCAGAGACAGGAGGGGCAACGGTGGCTGGGAGGAGAGGGAGCAGGTGCTGACTGGGGTTTGGGTCTCCACTTTGCCATTTCCTAGCTGGGTATCCTAAACTGTCCTTCACAGCCCAGAACACCAGTTTCTTCCTCTGTGAAATGGTGACAATGTCATGTACCCCACCGGTTGTGGTGAAGCATAAAAGACTTAAGGTAGGCAAGGTGCTTAGCCGCTGGTATGTGCTTGGGCAGAGGAAGGTAATTATTACTACCCAGCAGGTTCAAGCCACAGCCCTGGGGCAAGGGTAGAAATTAGGCACCAGGATTGGGGGCCCTGGAAACATCTTCCTAACTTATCTGGATAGAGAATTCCATTCCTTTTATTCCTGAAGTTGCTAAGGTGCCTGGGCTGGTAGTAGAATGTGTTGCTGGCTCGGCGCCTGTGGCTCAAGTGGCTGAGGCGCCAGCCACATACACCTAAGGTGGCGGGTTCGAATTCCCAGCCCGGGCCCGCCAAACAACAATGATGGCTGCAACCAAAAAATAGCCAGGCGTTGTGGCGGGTGCCTGTGGTCCCAGCTACTTGGGAGGCTGAGGCAGGAGATTCGCTTGTGCCTAGGAGTTGGAGGTTGCTGTGAGCATGATGCCATGGCACTCTACCCAGGGGGATAGCTTGAGGCTCCGTCTCAAAAAAAAAAAAAAAAGAATGTGTTGCCTGCAAGACAGCTAATTTGGACAGGAATCCCTTCAGGCTGGACAGCCTTTTTTAAATAGGCCTCTTCCCATCCCCAAAGGCTCTGTTCTGTCTGGACCCTCATTCTGCTCAATGCAAACCTCAGTGGCTTGATTCTACAGGGGGAAGCTGGGGTTGGCAGGAAAGAAGGAGGTTGAGATGGTGTCTGTTCCCTATGAAGAGCTGTAGGGAACAGGTGGGCACCAGGGCACAGGTGGGCAGCAGGAGCAGGGATGAGGCATGACCTATTACCTTGCCAGTGACATGGTCTGGAGCAATGGTGGGTGGTGGGCCGGAGGGCACGTCTGGGTTCAGAGGGTCCATGCCCTGGGGCATGGGGCCGTCCTTGTGGGCACTTGTGAACAGATCTGGAAATAAGAAAGACGGGAGGAACCTAGATACCGCAGCCCTCTCTTGCTTACAAAGTGTGTTCAAGCCAGGCCTACGACGGCACTGTCTTATTATCCACCATCATTTTACAGCAGATTCACATCCACAGCAGGGGAGGGGTCGGGCCAGATGGCCTCCTGCCTGCTCCCCTCAGTGGTGGGCATTACTCGCCCCATCTTCTTTTTCCCCCATTTCTACTAATCGTAGCACCCATGCTCAGGATTTTCTGACCTCATGGGAACCTCCAATCTACTTCTCCTCCTTCCCGCTAGCTCCTCATACCCCGGCCTCCCTTCTGGCCCAGCCTGTCCTCTGAGCTCTCTTTGCAGATGCCTTTATCTCTAACCCTCCTGCTCTGAGCCTGGACCTGGGGAGCTGAATGTCACTGGAGAAAGTCACTGACCTCATACAGGACACTGCCCTTGTCCTGTTTCTCTGCCTCCTGCCAGGTCACCAGCTTCGCCATGTCTTTTCTTCTCAGACCTGTGCCCTGAGCCCCACGATAAGCCCTCCCCAGCTCTCACTGGGGCCAGAAGACCTGGGAGGGTGCCACCCAGATGTTTCCACCCCAAATCATCATCCTGCTTGCACCTTTGCCCACGTCTTCTCCTTTCCCTCCTGTCACAAAGGAAGAGCTGTCCCCACTCCATCCAAGACCATATAGGGGCTGGAGCCCATCCCTGCCCTCCACCCCAGGCTCTGCTCTCTCTCTTCATCCTCTCAACCCCATCAGCCTGGAGCTATCCCATCAGGATCTCACATGCTGAGAGGCCTCCTCCTGCATCCTCTCTCCACTCTCCTCAGCAGAGCCCCAGAGCCCTGGGTTACACCAGCATCCAAGCAGCCCAAGCATCTCCTGACTTTTAGAAACCTCTGGCCACTGCTTCCCACTTCACAGCCACTTATAGATAGTCACACGTGACCTCTGCCTCCTCATCTCCCAGTTTCTCCTCTGCCCAAGCCAAGCAGGCTTTTACGAGACAGCCCTGCCAACCTGCCAGAAGCCCACAAGAGGCCAAGGCTAGTGGGGACTGCTCTAGCCCCTTCTTCCTGGACTCTCAGCACTGCAGGATGCTGCCCAGCGTGTCGCCCTTTCAGCCACACTCCTGCCTCTCTGGATGCTCCCAGGGTGGCCTGAACAACACCTCTGCTCCCATCCTTCTCCACTCGCTCCCCTGGTCACACCTGCAGGCTGATGGCACCATGCACGCACATCCAGCCCTGACACCTCCCTTGAGCTCCCAGCTGAATTTCCACCTCCCTGCGTGGAAGCCCAATGGGCATAGCAAGCAAACATGCCCTCTGCCCCCAATTTTAGAAAATGACGCAAGCATCCACCCTACTGCACCAGCTACAGCTCTGGGAGTCTCCTCAGAGTCCCACCATCACACTTTCTTCCCCAGTGCCATCCAATCAGCTGGACATCCATTCCAGATCTGTCCCCCTCCACCTTCCCATGGCCCTTGTCACTCTCCCTGGGCAGCACAGCTCCTGTGCTCCACTCTGCCCAGTAGCACTCGGGCTTCATGCTCCAAGCCAGACTGTGTCACTGGGGGTTAGGGAGCAGCATGGCTGCTCCACCCAAGTCCTTAGGTTTCTTTCACCTGTTTTCCGCCCCTCCTCACAACCCAGGTGCTTTGCTCCAAGCTTCTACTTTCTCATCTGCAAAATGGGCAACTGAGGGAGACTGTTCTTGTTCTTCAGAAATTGTCGAGCAGGATCCAAAACTAAGAACAAAGAGGCATTGTGGACCCTGTGTTTTCGGCAAGCTACGACGGGCTGGAGGGAGCAGACTCCTCTCCAAGGTGGAGACCCTGCTATCAGCCACACTCCTGACTCAGACTGCCGAGTTCTCCCCACACACTAAATGAGGGGTTGCTCAGAGAATCACCCACAGAAATCCAGATGCCTGCCAAAGAGAGGACTTATTAGATTGTCTACATGACCAGTGGGAGACTGCAGGGTGGGGTGAGTACCTCTGCCATGGCAAGGACTGTGAGTTTTTCAAGGGTCAAGCAGAGGAGGAGAAAGGGGGCTGTATTTGGGTCTTGCTAATACCTGCTAAGTGAGATGCTTGCAGGAAAGAGGTTTCTGGCCCTAAAAGGCTGTAGGGTGGGGGCGGCACCTGTGGCTCAAAGGAGTAGGGCCCTGGCCCCATATGCTGGAGGTGGTGGGTTCAAACCCAGCCTCGGCCAAAAACTGCAAAAAAAAAAAAAGGCAGTAGGATGGACCACTTTAAGAGAAGAGTAGAATAGGGCAGTGAATGGAAGAGGTCAAGCCAGGTCAGAGCCCCCTCTGTAGTTGTGAGGCCCCCAGTGGCTCCTCAGAGAACTCACAAATGCTACTCTGGGAGACCTGTGGCCTCCTGGCCTACCTCATTCCTCATCACACTCCCCTCTCTCGCCTTCCTGGGTGTTCCTCAGACATGCCCAGCACACTCCTGCCTCAGGGCCTTTGCACTTGCTCCCTGCCTCCATCTGGAGCTCTCTCCCCCCAGATAGCTGGGCATGGTGGTATACACCTTTAGTACCAGCTACTCAGGAGGCTGAGGCAAAGACGATCATTTGAGCCCAGGAGTTCGAAGCTGTAGTGAGCTATGATCCAGCCACTACACTCTAGCCTGGGTGACAGGGTGAGACCCTGTCTCTAAAAGAAACCAAAAAAGAATAGAATTGAATGGAATATAAAATATCAGAGCCCACCGCAGAGCTGGGGTATCATGGCCTGAAGGTTTGTTTACATTGCACATTGCACAGTCATACATGCATGTGGACGTGCACACACACAAATGGTAAGAATGTGTTCTCCGTGTGTGTACCGGATTATGATGCAAAATACATTTAATACTATAGGTCCAGTCAAGAAAGTTTTAAGTCTCCAATGTTAATCTTGAGGTTATGGATATCCTGCATGTCACATGTCACCAAGGTGTGAAAAGGGTGGCACTGGCTACAGGCTGCCCCAGGAACTTACGGAGGTGTTGAAATATTTCTAGGCCCCTAACCATCACCTGAAGCTGCTTTAAAGCTCTCCAGCCGCAGGCCAGAGAGGGAGCTTGACCAGGAGGAGGCTGTAGTGATGTCAAAGCCTGGAGAAGACATGACTCCAACAAGGTCATTCGTTGAGGTGGTGGTGTGCTTGGAGGACTCTTGGCCCCCACGCCCTCCCCTACCTCAGTTGGGGTGCAAGTGCCTCCACCAGAGCCCCAAAGCTGCCTGCTCCCCCTGTGGACTTTGGCCCTGTGATGTCACAGGCTGGTTGCCATGGAGACATCAGGTAATGAACCAGCCCAGGGTGAAATCACAGGCTGTTCTTCGCCCAGCTGGGACCGGTGGCCACGTCACCACCAGCAACTGGAAAAACACAGAGTTTTGTGTGGGGTTGGGGCTGGGGGTAGCCCGAGGGGACTTCTGGCCCTCGTTCTTGTGGCTGCCTCCCTCTCCCAAGGGAGGTGTCAGGGGCAACCCCTTTCTTCCCCACTGTACACCCTACTGTCTTGACCTCAAGATCTGAGCCCCTTTCTCAGATCTGCTCCTCCCCCCACTTCCTCTGTCCATGGGAGGGACAGGCCTCTGGTTGCCATGGCAACCTGGAGAGGGCCGTCTTGATTATTCAAGGAGAGGGGTGTCATCCAGATGTCTCCTCCATCCCTCTGCCTTCAACCAGAGCTTCTCCTCTGTTTATCAAGGATGCTTCCTGCCTTCCTGACAAGGATGCCAGCTCCTTGTCTCTCTGCTTCAGAGTCTAACCCGAATGTTCCTCCTGAAGTCCTGATGGCTAACTTAAACCCCTCTTTCTGCCAAGTTCCCATACTAGTCTTTTCTGCTGTTCCTTGGTGAGCCCGCAGCAATCTCAGGCTTTTCCTACTTGCTCCAGTGACATCCAGCTCTGTTAGCTGTTCTTTGGGGCTCCCTGACCCAGCCCGTTAGTCACCGTGGTTGCCATGTCCCTCTAGAGTGCTTCCCAGGGCTCCACACCCCAGGAGGGCAGGGAGGGCCTATGTTTAACCCTGATCTTTCCCGGCAGCCCAGAGAGGGTAAACCTCCTCTTGAAACCACGCAGGGAGCAGTAACGTGCAACCTGGGTCCGAAGTCCCCGTGAGGCCCCTCCCAGGCCAGCCACAGGCATCTTCTCTCAGCTTCTCAGGACACCTGTGGCTGAATGCATGACACAGTCCCTCAGCCCACCACTGCTCAGGTGTACACTGCCCAGCTGGGACCAGCCAGGCTGTGAAGAGAATGCTGTGTCCAGGGTATCCCTCTGCCCTGGGCTTAAATCCCAACTTCTCACTGCCAGCCCTGGGCTGTAGCCTTGTCCCTTGGACCCTGTGAGCTATAGATTCTGGTCTGGGACATAATCCCTGTCCAGTAAGGGCTGTGGTGGGGACAAAGAACTTCTTAAGCCATAGCTGCTCCACTTCTCGCCCCTCAGTTTCTCCTTTTGGACAGTGGGACAGGTCTCAGTCAGCCACTCCTCTGGTTCTGGCCCTAGGGCTGGAGTTTGCCCTGGTGGCTCTGCAGACGGGGCATTAAGGATGAGTCCTTGGCCTCCCTACTTGGTGAGTCACGGCCGTAGGAGCAGGCTACAGAGCTTTCCTACAGGAAAGGCCTGGCCTTGAGTGGACTAAGTGTCCCCTGCTCCCCAGGACATGTTTATGGGTCACTTGGGCCATGATGGTAGCTTCATCAGTGGGTTGGTGTAGCTCAGAGCTGCCCAAGAAGGTCCCACAACAGAGAGAGACTCTTGCTCTTCTGCAAGACTTTCACACACCCCAGCTCCTTTTCTCTTCTTCCATCTCTGGCTCCACCTCCTCCAGGCAGCCTTCTCAGATTGGCCTCTGCTGTATTAGGTGTTTCCCTCACCGGCCCTAATGGGCAAAGTCTGGCTTGCAGTGGTTGCTGCCACTATTTACTGGACACTTGCTATGTGCCAGGCACTGTCCTGGGCCTTTTTAGCTATGACCCCTCATTCAACCCTCACAGCAACCCTGAGAAATAGGTACTAGCATGTCCATTTTACAGATGGGGAACATGAGGCTCAGAGAGGCTAAGTCACTTACGGAAGGTTCAAACCTAGGTGAATAGGAAACTCCAGAGTATGTGCCCCAACCTCTAACCGGTGCTTATCTCTGGAGAGGGTCCTCAGGCCAAGTTTCCCAGTTGTGTGTCCCGCCTGCCTCACCAGACTACTCCAAGGATAAAGCAGTATCTCTCCCACCAGACTGTGAGCTTCTGAAAGGCAAGATCCCAGCTGCCCTTCCCTCACTCTCCCCAGTGCCAGAGTATGACTACTCACTGGCCAGGCAAGATAGGACTTGGGTACTGGGCGTACAAGGGGTGGCTCTGGTTAGCCTCTAAAGCAGTGGTTCTCAACCTTCCTAATGCCCTGACTCTTTTAATACAGTTCCTGTGGGTTGCGACCCACAGGTTGAGAACTGCGGCCCTAGAGTTTGTGCCTTCTCCCAGACATGATCAGATGTCTGACCTTCCAGGAGAAATTCCTCAGTCTCTAATTTCTGCTCTCACAACCCCCCCCCACCACCCGCAGTGCGCAGTGCATAGAAGACCCCCAGGGTGAGGCCAGGAGGCTGAAGGGTTGGTCTGGAGAAGAGAGCTGGGGGAGGGGCAAGCAGAGCCATTACAGGCCCCAGGGCATGGAGTGGGCACTGACAGCCTGGAACTGGAGAGAAGGGGGTGGGAAGATATTAACTTCCTCTATGTTCCACGCAGATTGCCACTGGCGGTGGCACTGGTCCTGGTGCCCAAGCCCAAATTAAACAGGAATTGTTTGAATTAACCCACGTTGGGTTGTTGTTTTTTTTTTTTTTTCAAGTAGTGGCCACATACTCAGTATCTCTATGTGGGGACATGAGATGAGGGAGCAGAGGGCACTGGGGTCACAGGAACCTGGATTCAAGTTCTGCCTCTCCATGCCTGGCTGTGTGGCCTGGGGCAAGACCATTCTGTCTTTGAGCCCCACGTCCCCCTTACGGGGTTGAATGAGAACTAACTAGGTCAGGAGAGCATAGACTCAGCCTGGCCCAGGATAAGTGCTCAAAACAAATGGTGGCTTAAAAATAGATAATGAACACAAAATAGCTCCTGGAAACACCGGTTGCCTTAATCTGGTCCCAGTCACTTTCCTGATGTCCTCTGCACCTCAAGTGCCCACCAGCCACTTCTTTTTCCCCAAGGCCGTTCTCTCTGTAACTTCCCCTTTCGCAGCCAAGAAGGTCTGCATTAGCCATCTGCCCATAGGTGATACTAAAAATTTAAAAATGAGAGTCATAGCTGACCCTTACACAGGCCTGCTACGTGTCAGGTACCAGGCTGAGTGTTTTGCAGGCATTAAGCCACTTAATTCGCCCTATCGATACTGTTACAATTCCCATTTTAGAGATGAGAGCACCAACACACACAAACACACACACAAGGTTAAGTGACTTGTGGAGGTCACAGAGCTGGTGAATGGTGGAGTGGGGAGAGTGGGTTGGGGTGGCTCTCCCAGATGTGGCCTGGACCCAGGTTTTGGGGTTTGGCTGGGTGCCGACTGAGGGCTCAGTGTGAGGCTCACAATCCCCGGCCTCAGCTTCAGGCTGTGTACCTGGCCCAGGCAAACACTTGGCACAGGGGGCTGTCATTAGCAACCGGTGCAAGTGTGGGGACCAGGCACAATGCCACAAGAGTGGAGGCTACAGGGGTGGGAGCTGGCTGTGTGCTGAGACTAAGGACCTAGACTCTGGAGTCAGTGTGCCATAGTTTAATCTTGGCTTTTTTCTTTCCTTGCTATGTGGCCCTGGACAAGTCACTCAACTACCCCTCCCTCAGTTTCCCCACTTATAAAGCGAATACTATGTTAATATGTATCCAAAATTAGATTTTTGTGCCTAAACTAGTACCTGGCGAGCTGTAAGCTATCAGAGAATACTAGTGACAGTTAGAGGGGAAGGTGATTCACTGGTTCAGCCACCAGGGCTTTGGGGATGATAATCTTTGGCCCCTGTGGTTCCTCTTCTCTCTTTTTACCTATATCCAACTTCCCAGGGTGCATGTTGAGACTCTAAGTGGCCCTATCCTCTCAGCAAGGGGACAAAGTTGGATACACAGCTAGATCCAGGGTGACACTTGGGAAGCCCAGGCTGCAGAAGGAAGAGTAGAGAGAATATGTCTTGGCCGGGGTGACCTCAAACAGCCCGGGGAGAGGGTGCTGTGGAGGGAGCACCAGGTGTAGGTCAGAGGACCTCAGCCTCCCATGGTGACTTTAGTAGGCATGTCCTCCTCTTGGGCCTCTGTCCTGTGCTCAATAGGTCCTCAGCTCACAAGCCAGTTCATCTGAAGCTGGGTCCCCGCTGTGCCTAGCACGGGATGACCAAGTGATGAGGAATGGACGCCGTGACAAAGGAAACGTCCAGATCCCCTGGTGCCTGGCACATAGTAGGTATCATGTTAATATTAGCTCAATGAATGGATGAGTAAAAGAATGTGATACAGCCCGACCTTTTCCTTCCCCTCCCCTACCCATGATTCTACTCCTGACACCTTCCAGAGACATCCTGAGCCACTTATCTGAATGCCTCCCATGGACTAGTGAACAGAACCAACTTGAGTCCAGAGGATGGTGGAGGGAGGGGTGTTGTGTTCCTTCCTTAACACTCCCCCCATAACCAGGTCTTCTACGAGGCCTACCCAGCCGCTACTAAGACCAGTTCATATGGTCTATACCTGAGGAAGCCACTGAAGGGGACGGATGTGGTGGTCCACCAAGACCCTGTGATTGGGGTCAGTTGGTTTGGCCTCAGTCTGCAAGCCTGGGCCAAGGCCAAAGTCACCCTTTACTTCCAGCCCAGCCCCCCGCGTCTCACTGTGGGGTGAAGAGACCCAGTGGGAGAACAGCCCAGATGTTGCTCAGCAGCCTGTTCCAAAGACCACCCTGCCCACCTCCCAGCCTCTGTGCAAGACTCTGTACTCCCCACTCACAGAAGAGACCCACACCTACCCCTGGTCCCCAGCCAAGGGCAGGTCCCTCCAGCTCCCTGGGGACCAGCTTAGGGAGAGCTTAGGGTGCCTGGTTAAATACAGAGAAAGGCCCAAGGGTAACCGGGAACATCAGTGTCCTCTATCCCTTTCTGACCCCTGATCAAGAAGGGGGTGAGGACTAGGAGTTAGGTATAAGGGTGGGGGAAGGGGAAGCTTCTTTATAACCTGTTCACCAATATTAACCCATGTGGTAAGGGGAGGGAAAGAGTTGGGGGGGGAGTGCGGTAAGCTGGTAAGGTCCGTGGGGTGAGGGCGAGGGGCAGGGAGATGGGTCTGCCAGCGCTCCAGTGCCCCAGTCCCTCCAAGGAAGCCAGGAAGAGCCAGAGCCTCCCTCCCCTCCCAAGCACGCGGCAGGGGGTGTGTGGCTACCTGAAAGGATACGTGGCACGGGGACCCTACTGCATGGCACCTGCCGGTGCAAGGCGGGGCGGGGATGCAGTGACCTCCACCTGCTCGGTCTCTGTGAGTCCCCGCCCCCATCCCGCCCCATTCCGGTCCCCATCCCGCACCAACCCGGTCCCCCTCTGGGCACCGTGTCCCCTGGGGGTGCGGCTGGTCCGTGAAGGGTGGGTCTACTCTTCCCCCCAGTCCTTTGGAGCAGCGAGGGGACAGGATACACTCGGCCTCAGGAGCCAGACCCTACCCGCCCGCGGCCCCCTCACCTCGTGACACGCAGGAGCCCATCACGGGGCTGCCGGGCCGCGCCGCTGCGCCTTGGGTGCGTCGAGCCGCCGGGCGCTCATGTCTCCGCGGGCCGGGGGCTGCGGGCGGTGGGCGCGGGGAAGGGGCGTGGGTGCTCTCTGCTCGGCCTGCGCTCCCGCCGGGTCGTCTCTGCCGCTGCAGCCGCCTCTGCTGCGCCCTGCTCGCCTTGCGCCGCCGCCTCCCGCGCCGCACCCGCAGCTGCCAGGGGCGGGCGACACCGCGGGGCGGGCGGGGCCGGGAGCACGGCGGGAGGCGGGGGCGCACCTGTTGCCACGGCTGGGGCGGGGCAGTAGGGGGCCCAGGCGGGGGCGCAGGCTGGGGCGCAGGCGGTGACCCGGCTGAAGGTCAGGAAAGGAGACGGAGGGGGCGAGATTCCGGCATTAGGGCACAGCATGAACAACCACCGCGGCCGGCACTGGGCTGTGCACAAGTAGGATAATTCCATTAGGCCCATTTTGCAGAAGAAACGGAGACTCCGGGAAGTCAGAGGCCTTGCTGGAGAGCCTTTAGCTGTGAACATCCGCGACTTTCGACTGTCGCACATCATTTGAAGGACACTGGCCCGGGGTAGGGTAGGGAGGGTGGGGATAGTGCGCTTGTGGCCTCATTGCTGGATGAGGGGTCTGCCCAAGGCTGCCTCTCAGGGCTAGTCTTGGGCAGAGCTGTAAGAACAGGCTCCTCAATCGCACAGAATATCTCTCTCTCTCTCTCTCTCTCTCTCTCACACACACACACACACACACACTCTGACAGTCGTACATACATTTATACACGCTTGCCTCTACACATAGGAACTGGGGATGGTGTCCAGAGGACCTTAGCAAACCTTCCCATGCGCATAGCAGCAGGGTCTGAGGCACTCACTCAGTGTCACAGCCTGCATCTTGCTCTATCCTCACACATCCCTGTATGTCATGGTTCGCAGGTGAGAGCCCAGCAGGGTTTTGAAGGGTTTGAGGCAGCGTCCTGGGGCAAAGGTGGAGGCCTCTGGCAGGACAGGATGTGAGCGCAGGGGTCCTGCCAGGGTAGATGGGCTGGGGAGTAAGTGCTGACCTCTTTTTTAAAATGTTTCATATTATTTATTTATTTATTTATTTTGAGACAGAGTCTCACTATGTCGCCCTTGGTAGAGTACCAAGTGCTATGGTGTCACAGCTTACAACAACCTCAAACTCTTGGGCTTAAGCGAGTCTCTTGCATCTGCCTCCCCAGTAGCTGGGACTACAGGCGCCTGCCACAACGCCAGCTATTTTTTGGTACAGTTGTCGTTGTTTAGCAGGCCTGGGCTTGAACCCGCCAGCCTCAGTGTATGTGGCTGGTGCCCTACTCACAGAGCTACAGGTGCAAAGCCAATTTTTTTTTTTTGCAGTTTTTGGCTGGGGCTGAGTTTGAACCCACCACCTCCAGCATATGGGGCCAGCGCCCTACCCTTTTGAGCCACAGGCGCCGCCCTATTTTTTATGTTTTTATATATTTTTTGAGACAGAGTCTCACCCTGTTGCCCAGGCTAGAGTGCTGGGACATCAAAGCTCACAGCAACCTCAAACTCTTGGACTCAAGTGATCCTCTTGCCTCAGCTTCCCAAGTAGCTGGGACTACAGGTGCCCATCACGACACCCAGCTAGTTTTTCTGTTTTTAGTAGAGACTGGGTCTTGCTCTTGCTCAGGCTGATCTTGAACTCACGAGCTCAAGCAATCCAACCACTTCAGCCTCCCAAAGTGCTAGGATTACAGGTGTGAGCCACCGCACCTGGCTGACCTCTTTTTCTTTCTCTAAGCTGGGTGTCCTCTGGTGAGTCCAGTCTTGGTGGAGAGGGGACCTGGGTCTGAGTGAGAACTTAGCTCACCCAAGCTGGGTGACCTTGGGCAAGTTGCTTCACCTCCCTGAGCCACAGCTTTTGCATTCATTAAGTGGGAATAAAAAAATCTCACCCCATGGGATTGCTGTGAGGGCCAATGAAATAATACATGTATGCAAAATGACAGGCACGTAGTAGGTATACGGGGCTAAAATGACAGCGAACACAAGGAGGAGGTATCATTAACTCCCTGCAGCTTCCCTGGACCCACAGGGAAGCCTGAGAACCTCCACTCAGAGGATATGTATGAAGTGCCTACTGTGTGCCCGAGTGAATAAGACAGATGTATCGGTCCTCAAGTCAGTGCTATATTCGGTCACAGGTGTGGAGAGGTTCCCCCTACTCTGCCCTGCAAGTCTGGCCTTAGAGAAGGTGGCTCTTAAGGGACAGACTAGGATCACCAGGGATGCCCGGAGCCTCGCTCAGTGCCAGGTGTGTGCTTGCCTGGGGGGGGGGGGGAGAAGGAAAGGCAGGTCTGCCCTTGGTCTGGCTCTGGGATCCCATCCCGTGTGGCCCAGGTTTGAGGAGGCAGAGGTGTCCTTTCTCTTCCTCCTGTGGCAGAGTGACTGGGTGACTGGATCTGGCGTGGAAGGAGGGCTCTGACTCACCGTGACGCAGGACACTCCGTCACAGCTGCTGATGCTCCCAGCTGTAAGCCCACAGCTCTGGCAACAAAGGCCAGAGAGGGGAGACCCTTGCAGCAGAGTGGACAGGGCAGCTCATAGGGGAGAGGATGCCTGGGGACTCCACTGTGTCCCCCCTCAGCCAGAGCTGAAGATCAGTCTCTTGCTAATCAACTCTGAGACATGCTGGGCTGCTTCTGGCTCTCCTGGCCTCTGGCATTCATGCTGGTCACTTCCACACTGACTCAGTCCTCTCATTGTACTGATCAGCATTCAGAGAGGGCCAGGAGCTTGCCCAAGGTCATGAGGCAAATAGATGGCAGAGTGGGGACTAGAATCCAAATCTTCTGCCTGTCAGCCCAGCCCTGGCATCATCCTGAGCCTGGGTCATGCAGGGGTAGGTGGCTCCCCTTGCACGCTCACATTCACCTTCCCTGTCCTTGGAATTCTGCTGAAGCGGACAATGTCCAGACAGCTCCAAGATGTGTGGTTGTCCACCCTGCCCCCCTGGGCAGGCTGTCCTTTCCCAGCTCACCCCATCTGCCCTGTGACCTTCCATTGCCTGCCCCCAGGGCCCTCCCTACTGTGCCCATTTGTGGGGGAGAGTGGAGAGGAGTCTCCCATGGGTGAGCGGCCAGGGGAGAGAGTGTCCTGGCCATGCCCTTCACACCTCAAATCCCATTCTCCTGTCATGATTTTGGGGATCCAAGCAGAGCCCCTACTCCTGCAGCCTGTTCCTGTTCATTAGCAGACATTCACCAGCCCTGAGAGCCTGGTCCCGATCTGGGCACTGGAGCGTGCAGAGGAGATGCTGCAGGGTTTGACCGGAGCAAAATTAATCAACAGGAGCCATGACGGCAATGAATCAGACCAGGCTCTGCCCAGGCATTCCCTGGGGGGTGGGGTGGGGACACTGCGGGAGCTTCGGGCATAAATAGCTCAGGGTCAGGGGAACAGCGCTGCATCCCCATGCCAGCCAAGTGAGAAGAGAGTCACTTCTGCCAAGGGCTGTGGGGATGGCTTCCAGGCAACAGTGACCCTGGAAGCAGAGTCTAAAGGTTGAGTGGGCTATTGGCATGGGCAGGGGGCCTTGGTGTGCATAAAGGCTTGAAGGTGGGGAGGATGTAGACCACCTAGACTGAAGACTCAAGGGACTTCCCATTTGGATCCCCCTTCTACTGCTGGAGGTTCTGTTACCCCACTTTTTTTGCAGTTTTTTTTTTTTTTTTTGTGTGTGTGTGTCCAGGGCCAGGTTTGAACCCACCACCTCCAGTATATGGGGCTGGCACCCTACTCCTTGGAGCCACAGGTGCCACCCTCTGTTACCCCACTTTTGCTTCCCCATCGTTTGCTTACCATGCTCATCAATCTATCTCCCTGTCAATAACTCTGTCCTGTTACTTAAAAAAAAAAAAAGAGGTGGTGCCTCTGGCTCAGTGAGTAGGGCGCCAGCCCCATGTGCTGAGAGTGGCAGGTTCAAACCTGGCCCCGGCTGAACTGCAACAACAACAACAAAAAAATAGCCGGGTGTGGTGGCGGGCGCCTGTAGTCCCAGCTACTAGGGAGGCTGAGGCAAGAGAATCGCCTAAGCCCAGGAGCTGGAGGTTGCTGTGAGCTGTGATGCCACAGCACTCCACCAAGGGCAACAGAGTGAGACTCTGTCTCTAAACAAAAAAAGGATTTGAAGGTAGGGATGCTTGGAGGCTCACAGGAAACTGGCATATACAACTTCTGGGGGTCCAGGGGGAGAAGGTGAGGGTGGGCACAGGGTGTCCTTCCCCACACCTCAAACATCTCCTCTAGAAAGGCAGAGCTTGTTAGCAGAAAAGAACAGAGCTGGAAGCCAGATGAATCTGGATCTGAATCCTACGCCCAGAACGATACGTAGAAGATGCTGAGTAAAGATTTGTTGAATGAATGCAAGAAAGTGAGACTTGTCCAGGGCCCCACGTCAGGACTGATTCAGCCTTTCATTCATCAAGCAAATACTCACTGAGCACTTCCTCTGTGCCAAGCGCTGTCTGGTGCTGAGATTACAGCATGAATGAGACGCACCAGGTCCCTGCTCATTGGAGTTTACAGTCTAGTGGGGGGAGGCAGGTGTTAATCCAATAATGACCCAGAAACATTAGAATCTTGTCCCTGGAAGCAATGGGAAAGAGCCCTTGAGAGTGTAGAAGAGGACTTGATGGGGTCTTGGGCATGGTGGGCACAGCCAGGAGAGGAGGCAGTGACTACACCCATGACTGACACATGAGTGGGTTCTGGCTAGGCAGAGAGAGGCAAAGAGAAAAGCGCACATCATGGCTGGTCGGAAGTGGGAGGAAGGGACAGGGTTCCAGGAGGAGGAGAGGACCACAAAAGAGAAAGAGAGGTGGCAGGAGCCAGCTCCTGTGGGGCACCCCCAGTGGGATCTGGTCTTTGTCCAAAGAGCAGTGGGGAGACCCATCTTTTGTTTCCTCATCTGTAAAGCAAACCTCCTTCCATTCATTCTCCAGTA